ATATCATTCTCCGCTCAGAATCTTGAAATTAGTTACAAATTAGTTATCATCAATATTAGGGTAAGAATTCCACTGAATACGATTCTCTGCTGTGTATTCGGCAGCCAAATAGAGAATCCCAAGTACTATTTGGGTTTATTCAGCTTTATTGGGCTTTGCTGAATAGCAGCTGTGTGGAGGGGTTATATGTTAAAGGGATATACTTACCTCCCCTTTCTTGCTCTTTTTTGCCATTTGCTCTGATTTCCAGGGCAATAGGAGGACAAGGATCTCTGCAGGAGACCAATGGCAAAATCCCCTTAGGGGGAGCTAAGAGTCAATCACTGCAATGCATTTGCAAATAGCATGGCATTGCAGGTTTGCAACTTTGCAAGGTTACTGCTGGCTAATCCAGCTAACTACCTTGCTTTCCCAGGGAAAATGAGGGAGAGGGAAGGAGCAGGGTCAATTTGGACAATAGGATTTCAGGTAAGGGGAAACACTGCTCTTTAGCCAATCACAGAAGTTCGCTCTTTTTTGAAATTTTTCTGTGCATGAGCAGAGCATAAAAGCAAGGGACTGGCTGAGCTAGACTCAACTGCTGATGAGAGGTTTGTTTGGAGTTGGAGTCTCGGACATCGTGAGGCTGGCTTTTGCTTCACCTGCTGCTCTGAGTAACTCTTTCTGCTGCCTTTCAGAGAGATTATTCCTTTTTTTATATATAATACTACATAAACTACCAAGAAAAAATGGGGATAGGGGGGCTACAATTTAGGGAGAAAGAAAAGATAACCCACACTAAGCTAAAAACCCAAGGTTAGGAGATCATTCCCTGTTAAAATGCTGTTAGTAAAAGAAAAGGCTGTTAATAAACAATATACTTTGTGAGAGCGTGTCTTTCTAAGCTTATATGTTAGATTGTTACTTGTTATGAGAAGATTTCCCGAGCATCTCCTCCAGCTCGTTTCATAAAGGCAATTTGCAAAGTCCTTCCGCCTTTACATCTATAGTAAAACTCTCTAAATTCTTGATATCTTCTTAGACGTTCACTGCAGCCCAATCTTCTTCCATCCAAAGGAATAGAACCGCTAGTCTTAAGCCTCTTTCGCTCTGGTCTCGGGGTCCAGTGGCTTCTCAAAGGTTTCTTGATTATGAAGGATACCTCCAGCTCTTTTTTCTCAGCAGACTTTAAGATGACACTTTCTAAGCACACACGCAGAGAAGAAGTCAAATCCTTGTAAATTTCTCCTGTTTCTCTTATGCTTTTTTTTTCTCATTGAGATCGCTGCTTAATTTAGTGTCTATCTCATTCGCTTTGAGAGCCCTCAATTCCATTTTTTCTCCACTCGCCTCCTGGAGCTGCCAAGACACAAACTGTTGATTTATCTTGGCCAGCTGCTGATTAATACCAACAAGTTGCTCCAAGATCGGCTTGATGGCTTCTGCTACTAGTGCAGTGACGTCAACTTCCCTTCTTCTCCTCAGAGTTTTCGCCATCTTTTTTTAAAAAAAAATTCGCCGTTTCAACGTTTTAGTTTCAATAAAGTCTCTTTCTTCCTGGCTCTGCAAATCGTATACGCTGTTAAAAGCTCATGGAAATCTCCCACAACAGGCTTACACATAAAGTCTTTCAGAAGTATCCGTTTACAACTGTCTTTCTCCCCCTCCCCTCTTCTGTTTATGTAAACGCGTCAAAGAGGCACCCCCCTCCAATTGCTTAAGGGATTTCGGGGGGG